TTCCTATTCATGACATACTCGTACATCTAGAGTAGATATAAAGCATGCAAACACTTTAGGCAGTTGCCTGTAGGCCGATATGAATTGCCATATAGATGATACCCATGCCACCTAACCATGTTACAAACATCACAGGTATATGTACCTTCATGAACCACCTTGCTAAATACTAGAAATCAGTCTGGTAGAATAACCCATTTACTTGCTAGCATCGTTTTGGTAACAGTAAAAATGTCAAGCATGTCTGATGTTGTCACAAATGTCACAAAGTCACAGATGCATGGCATGAGAACATCATGTGATGGTTGAAATTGTCTGAAGTTCAATTTTCATTCTCTGTTTCCTCCTTCTCTCACTCTTCCATCATCTTCCAACCTGTTTGTCTTGTCATAGCTCCTTGTTGGAGCTCTGAGCAGTTACTCAGACAAGACTTTCTTGGATATTTTGCATGTTAGGTGCCTTCACAGGCATAAATCTGTTGTGACAGTTGCACATTGGATCTCTCCTTTGACTCTCATTATCTTCCAAACCTGTCCATATTGTTGTAGCTCCTTGTCAGGGTTTAGAGCAGTTGCTCTGACAATGTCATGCTTGTGGATTTCACATGTTCCACACCTTCATGGGTGTATATCTGTTGTTACAGTCAGCCATCGGATCTCTCCTCTGACTCTTCCATCAGCTTTTAAACCTGGTTGTCATGTCATAGCTCCTTGTCGGGGTTTGGAGCATTTGCTCTGACAATGGTGGTCTTGATGATTTAACACACTGCGCGCCTTTGTGGGTGTGTATCTGGTGTTGCAGTCACACATTAGATCTCTTTTGTAACTGTTCTGCCATCTTCCAATCTGTTCATCTCATTATCGCTAGTTGATGACCATTGTGCTGTGGCTCTACTGATAATTTTCACTGTCGTTGCACATGTTTGTCACCCCTATTTGTGCACTGTCATTTAGTCACATTTTAGATGCACATTGTCCATTCTTGCTTTGGTGTGCTTGTGTGTTTTCCTCAACAGATTTATATCTGATGTGGACATGGACACCAGAGCTGTTGCCCAAGTATTATGTGGTCTTGTCCTTGCGGAAGTTTTCTGGCATGCTCATACACATCAAGTAAGGCCAGTGAGTCTTGAGCCATCCTGCTGAGTGAAGTTAATGAAGTGGTGTTAAGTATGTGAAAAGTACAATTGACATCCAGGTGTGTAAGAATGTCAGGATCAGTCAAAGCACTCCTTATGGCCTGAATTCATTTTGTTGAGTTCTCATATTGAAAAGTTGGGATGGTATGTTAGATCATTCTTTGTCAGGTATGGATCTAGCATTGATATTTGCATGTTTCAGAGGGTACATGGACTAGCTGGTGCATTCTTGCACTTGTTGATATTTTTCATTGGCAAGTCCATGGTGGACAATGACAGAAAGTGTTCAATATATTGTGCAATCTCTTAATTGATCCACTGTACCAAGTGCTGATCAGCACAGTACAGCATGTGTCTGACAGAATACTTGCTGTTGTGACTTTCTTGGCTACTGTGAGTGTTGCCAAAAGGTTGTGTACAGCAAAATTGGATCATTAGTAATATGTATCAATCACTCATGAACCAACTGATTGGAGCAATACAATATGTCATGTACCACAGAAGTTTACCATTGTAGGAACCATCTTGGAGGAAACAACAAACAACAACAACAGACACAGGATGCAAAGAAAGTAGAAGACTGATCCAAGAGAACTCATGGGTGACTGACAAAATATATGCACAGACAATGGCACAACACATTGGTTCACATAAAACACCATGTCAGACCAGGAGCATGATACTGAAACAGCAAGTCAAATGATCCCATATGTGAATGTCATATCAGACTAATGCACAAGAGGGTGCAGAATAAGTAAAATCACCTCAAACATCATTGTCAGAGCAACAGCTCAAAACCCCAAGAAGGAGCTACAATATGATGAATATGGAAGATGACAAGAAAGTTGTGGGTGAGAACTAATGCACGACTGTCACGCTAGACTAACACCCAACAATGAGCAGTACATGTGCAATTACCATGAATGTAGGGTCAGAGCAACAGCTCAGAACTCAAACAATGAGCTATGACAAGGCAAACTGGTGGGAAGACCAAGAGAGAGGTGTGGGAGAGTGCCAACATGCGACTGTCACAACAGACTAATGCCAAAGAGGGCGTGGAACATGTGAAATGACCGTAAATGCCTTGTCCAAGCAACAGCTCAAGACTCCAACAAGGAGCTACAATAAGACAAACAGGCAGAGAAGACAGTACATGGGAGTGAGAGACGAAGGAAATAGAGAATGAAAATCAGAAGTCAAACATTTGAACCATCATGTGATGTTCCCATGCCACTTGTTCATTGCTATAATGCTACCTCCATACAACATTTGTCACAGCATCAGAGGTGCCACATGTTCTGATTGTTCTTGAATAAATGAGTGACTTAACAACATGCATTTGAGGATTGTACAAATTCACCAAAGATATACATGTCTTACCATATGGTTAAGTGGTGTGTGAACCATCACATGCAGTAATTACTATTGGCTGATGGGTGAATTCCATGAGCATGTGTACTTCTTATGTACTATAGATGGATATCATGACATGGAATGATAATGAGATATATAGTGGCTCAAAAAACTGTCCGCATGTTTTTGCATTTGTTACTATTTACAATATTGTGTGAGAATACATAAAGACCTCAGTGACATGCTAATACCATATTGTAGTGCTGCTTCAGGGCTTTGGATTGAGCACCACATCGTGAGAATTAGAGGAGATATGGTGGAGATACAAGGCTCACAAAATGGTGACTCATGCAGACAGTTTTTTGAGCACATATTAAAACTATATAAATGATCATTTATGACACCATAACAATCATGCCACCATTAAATAAATTATAAAGTGGTGTCATTATGTCATTTTAAAACCATATCTAACTATACAAACCAAAAATTTCCATATGTCATGGTTATATTTACCATGAAAGCCACCCCCCCTGCTCAAAGGGATAATATCCTCTCTCTTTCCTATTCTGGCCTCTCTGCTTGTCAAATTTCCTCTAGAACTGGAGTATCCAAGTCCACTGTGGCCAAATTCATCAAAGAAAGTCACACAGACAAGGAAAACTTCTGTGAAGGGTGTCTATCCAAGCTCGCCTCTACTGATAGGAGGGCTATTATTCAACATATCACTACAGGAAAGGCTGATAATGCTGTCCAGGTCACCTATTACATCAATTCCACCATCACATTCCCTGTCTCTTCACACACTGTGAGAAACATTCTCAAGACAGCTCATCTCAGGTCAGTAACAAGAAAGAAAAGGCTCTCCTCTCTATCACACATATGCAGAGAGGACTAACCTTTGCCTTAGCCCATCAGAATTGGATTACATGGACTGGAAGCATGTTATATGATCATATAAGACCACAATAAATAGGATTGGGTCAGATGGCAAGGTATATATGTGAAAAAAGAAGGGTGCTAGTCCTCTCTGCATATGTGTGATAGAGAGGAGAGCCTTTTCTTCCTTGTTACTGACCTGAGATGAGCTGTCTTGAGAATGTTTCTCACAGTGTGTGAAGAGACAGGGAATGTGATGGTGGAATTGATGTAATAGGTGACCTGGACAGCATTATCAGCCTTTCCTGTAGTGATATGTTGAATAATAGCCCTCCTATCAGTAGAGGTGAGCTTGGATGGACGCCCTTCACAGAAGTTTTCCTTGTCTGTGTATGGTTTTAAAATGACATAATGACACCACTTTATAATTTATTTAATGGTGGCATGATTGTTATGGTGTCATAAATGATCATTTATATAGTTTTAATATGTGCTCAAAAAACTATCCATATGAGTCATGATTTTGTAAGCCTTGTATCTCCACCATATCTCCTCTGATTCTCACGATGTGGTGCTCAATCCAAAGCCCTGAAGCAGCACTACAATATGGTATTAGCATGTCACTGAGGTCTTTATGTATTCTCACACAATATTGTAAATAGTAAAAAATGAAAAAACATGTGGACAGTTTTTTGAGCCACTGTATAGCCCTTTACCCAAGTACTATGTGTGCTGTGTTCATACTTATGTGTGTCATCTCTGTGTGTGTATTATTTTATGTGTGGAATAGTTGAATGAATCCAGTGCCATACATCCCTAACTGTTGGAAGTTGGACTGTTTTTGGTTTGTGACAAGCCATTGAAAATACTTGCTGCAGAGAAGCTTTCTTGAAGTCAAATGAAGTGTTTGACAAAGAGAGAGAGAGAGGAGGTCCAAGGTTGAAGGCAAACAAAGCATTTGACCCAGAGATAGGGAAATGATTCAAGGCCAGAGTCAAAGTTTCAAAGTGTTCAGCAGAGAGAGAGAAGAGGTCTAAGGTTAAAGTCAAACAAAGTGTTCAACATAGAGTTAGGGAAATGATCCAAGGTCAGAGTCAAAGTTTTGAAGTGTTTGGCAAAGAGAGAGAAGAGGTCTAAGACTGAAGTCAAATGTAGTGTTCAACACAGAGATAGGGAAACGATCCAAGGCCAGAGTCAAATGAAGTGTTTGGCAAAGAGAGAGAGAAGAGATCTAAGGCTGAAGTCAAATGAAGTGTTCAGCCCAGAGATAGGGAAATGGTCTAAGGCCAGAGTCAAACAAAGATTTTGGTAAAGAGAGAGAGAGAGAGAGAGAGAGAGAGAGAGAGAGAGAGAAGAGGTCTAAGGTTAAAGTCAAATGAAGTGTTCAATGCAAAATGGGGAAATGATCCAAGGCCAGAGTCAAATGAAGTGTTTGACACAGAGATGGGGAAATGATCCAAGCCAGAGTCAAATGAAGTGTTTGATGCAGAATGAGAAAGTGATCCAAGGCCAGAGTCAAACGAAGTGTTTGACACAGAATGAGGAAGTGATCCAAGGCCAGAGTCAAATGAAGTGTTCAACACAGAGATAGGAAAATGATCCAAGCCAGAGTCAAACAAAGTGTTCAATATTAATAGACATTAATATTGTAAGGTAGACCTTGCGCGCTTTTAGCAAACCTCATATGCTGTGACCAAGGTGTGACACTCACGGTGCAATCATGATGAGACGTGTTATAATCCTTAAAACCCAGCTCAGGCTCCCTTTGCACTGAGATTTCAATCTTGGACTTCTCTTTCTCCCACTCAAAGCCTGGTAGCAGAGTGGCCATACCCCAATCACCTAGTAAAGCCAGTCTGATTGGGGGAGGCTTATCATTCTCCCAGATTGGAATTGCTAGATTGCTCTTCAACTTCCTGATGCACAACCAAATATTGGCAGGGCTAATGCCCTGGTGGAGGATTTTCCTGCACTCAACTGCGAACTTGTGTGCTACACACATATAATGTTAGTGCTATTGCATTTATTCAGAAATGTCAATTGGTTTACCTTTCAAGGCCTTCAAGATAGCAGAGAAAAACTCTTTCTTGTGGGAAAACCACGATAGGTTCACACATACATCTTCAGTAACCATATGATAATGTACATGACCTTCATAGGGTGGGAGCTGCATGTTACCTCAATGGCACAACACAGTACTGTTCACAATATTATTGCTAGTTGCTGGGTCCTCACCTCTGATGAAGCGATCAATAACCTTGGTTGGAATACCATTGATGTGATTGAACCCAGGGTCAATCTTCAGATCTTCACCACCAAGGCAATCTAGGATATAGCCTTCAGGGATCACCTCAACAGTAGGCCAACAGTCTTTAATGGCAACCTGGCTACCAGGAGGAAGGAACAATTGTTTATAGAGTTTGAAAGTTTCAGAGGGGGAATTTTCAGGGGAGGCATCATCAGGGGGAAAAGAAGGGGGGAGCACAGGTGAGCTCCCAGATTCATTGCCAGATCTATCTTTGCTCATGTTGAAGTTAGGGGCCTTATCTCAAGTGGCAATAAGGACTTTAGTACTGCAACCAGTCAAAGTGTGATGGGGGAAAGTGCAGGCACTGACAGTAAAGTGCATTTGTCAAGAGGAGAACTTTGGGTTGAACACATGGGAAGGATCCATGTCAATGACATTAGATTCTGCAGCCTCAGCCCCCATTCCTGATCATAGCCAGTGGCCCTCCTGGTACCAATCATCATGGCAGTAAAGCACTATAAGAATGACAAAGGGAGTTTCTCAATGTCAAAGTCTTCAGAACAAAAGAAGCCCCTGCAATCAAGTATTGACAGGGTGAAGATGCTACAATCATGTATGCCCCTATTCATTTTCTCTTTCTTTACCTTGTATTATGTCATGAGCTGCATGATGCTGCCACTAGGCTTATCTCTGATTCATATCTTGTATTACATCATGATTGCCATTGCTGTCACTAGATGATCTATTCTTGTTATCACTGACATGTCCTTTCTTATCTCTGACTCATCATTGATCCCATACCTGCCCTAAATCACCTAAGATTCACTATATATAGTCAACAATGTATCTTGTAGTTCTTCACTTTAATCTTACTAGGTTTTACCTGAAACATCCTTTGCTTGAGACTTCCAATCTCTTGTCATCTGAACCATACTTTAAGTTAGAAGCACTCCTTCTGACTTGGCTTACACCAAACACTTGACTTATCATCTCACATAGAATCTTGGCAGAGGTCTTGACTCTTATTGAGTTGTCTGTCATTAAGAACTATCCTAGTTTGTAACAGAGGATGGACCCACACAATGCACCACTGATGGTGTGCACCTGCTGGTCACAGTCATCTAGCATGAACCATGACTTATTGATGAAGATGAATAGAGCATCCTTGTAGTGGGAAGTGCTTGAGGTATATTTTACCTCAATCACTGCTTGCACTTGGCCAAAGTCATTGCCCTTCTTGACCTTGCTTGTGAGAACTATGTCCAGCTTGCGAGAACCTCCAATAGCATTATTAGCACAAGACATAAACTCATATTTGTTGGTGGGAACTCTGGCAGTCTGACAACCAAATTCCAGGAAATACAACAGTTCCTAAAGGAACTTTGCAAGATGTTCTTCATATGTAACATTGGAGTTAGGAGGTGTCTTCTGATGCAAATCTGGTGTGTTTGTCCATTTTCCAGGGTGAGTTTCAGGCCTCTTGACATTGAATTGAGAGGGGTCATTAGGCTGGAAAAGCTCCTTGTCAACAAGCACCTACAAGAACTGAAAAAGTGTAGGTCAACACAATTTAGTTGGTAAGTTTGAAAATCACACCTTCTCAACAAGGGCACATGAGTCTTCTTCTTCCTGGGACTAAGACATTGGCACATTCTGAGTTTTGTGAATGCCCATGAAAATTCTTTTGGTGAGGTATTGATATGGGCTAAGGACATGTTTACCAAAAAACACATCAAAGTCCTCATCCCTGATGATGCAGCCCTTCAAGCCCATCTCAGGAAGCTTAAAGTCAAGAGCTTTTTGCATCACCTTATCTTCATGATCCAATCCTTGCATTGTGGAAGGGTTGACACCTGGGATCTGGCCAAGCTGATGATAATTGTTGCTTAGTCTTATCATTAAATAAATTACCACAAACCTTAGCAGAATGATGTACATGTTGGTTCCATCTGGCTGCTATGACAGAGCAGTTGGGGGGTAGCACTTCCCCAACAGAACTAGTACCTTCTGTCTTGGACTTTGCCTTTATTAGTAGCTAGGCACTGGTGCAATTCCCACAGAGACTTACCATCATCTTGAAGATAGCTTGGAACTTTACACTGACAAGGCTGTTGACCTGGAAGAATAGGCATGCTGATGAGTATGTCTTTATCATGCTTTTATGAATCACATTTGCCCATCGATTACAATCATGATTTCAAAAACATGACTTGATGGGAATTGGGGGTATTTGGGGTCTTTTTGGAATGTGCTTGCACCAGTGCTGGGTACTGATGGTACTGATGCCCTCTTCAAACCCAGTGAAAATTGACAAGGAGGTAGAATATATGTAGATATGGAACAAAAATATAAGCCATATGACATTTATTGATGACTTTCGACATGTTTAGCCAGATGAGACTTTTCAAGATGGAAAAAGAAAGAGGTCAAGAGGAAATTTAGATTGTTTAGATGTCATTCTCACTGTGTTTAGACCTATCAATACACATTTACATATGAATCATCAATCTAAAAACACATCAATATACATCTAATGCAAACAAATGAGATTGTCTATAGGTATCGCTATCATTTGGTGAGGGTATAGGGTATCACTGCTTGCTGTGCCTCACTGACATCCCGCCATGTGTCCTCTAGTCATTGTGGTCATTGTCTTGACCTTGTACAAATCCAGCTATGGAACAAGTTGGTCAGTACATACAATAGGATGTAGTGGACAGTGCTCACCTCCATCATCACCCTCTCCTGCGATGCAGTCTTACATTGACAGCACAATCCACATGTCCAAGTCAACACACTCACTTTTGCAATGGTTGCAACAGGATTAAGTTCACACAATGAGAACAGTGGTTAGATGAGATAAACTCTTTGGACAACTCAGTTATGATATGGAGTTGAAGGCAGCTGTGCTCAGGTGCGAGAATCCATTTGGTTTGGTTTGTACACCACTACGTCGCAAGCAATTGGAGAATGTTCACAGCCTATAAAGATGAATTGACTAATTTGTGAGTTCCTGATAGCTGAGATCATTGTCACTCACACAATCTTGGACCTCGATCTCGGTGCTTGATCCAGATTGTTCTATCTGTTCAATCATGACATTGATGACTCTCTTGAGGTCTTCGAGGAAGCTCTCTCATCCACTGCTTTGTCACTTCAGCAGCCCAGTATCTGAAGAGTTTCATAGCCAAGTGTATACATATGGTGGTTGTATTAGGCCTCAGAGATGCAATCTCTGGCTGGAGCATGTAGGGAATAAGTTTATCCAGTGTAGAAAGTTCACTATGTCATGATCATTCAGCATATTGGGAGGGAGTGAATTCATATGACACACCTGCAGTGCCCTTCATATATCCAAGTGGCTGCACATAGCACCTCAGAACAAATAACCTGCTCATATGCATGCAGCAAGAATGTATCATCTGACAATACCTTCACCATGTCAATGTTCAATACATATGTGAGGTCAATGAGGACTGAGAGGTACCATTTGAAATCAGTGATGTTGTCATATGTGCTTTGAGAACACATTGTCACTCCAGTCCCAGAAGTGCTGGAAGTGCACAAGATGGAAATTCTATCAATATTGGTGTGATTAAGAAAATAAGATAATGTCAAGTTACCTTGAGTTTCAGGCAAAGCACAACACTTGCTTGCTTGAGATGGTCGAGTGATATTGAGTCACAATAACCCAATCAAAATGTTGTCCTGGGACAACATCTTACAGAAATGCTGTACTTTTGTCTTGGAGATTGGAATCCTACCCTGTAGGAAATTGCTGTGCAGCACATGCACATGACTCTTCTGTGACAGTCATTAAATTGGCGATCTCAATCTTACATGATCATTCACTCAGAGTTATCCAGACTGACTTGACTGACTGTTAAGGTTGTACTCAAGGGTTAACAGATCCTAAGGGCTTCAGCCTCAGCTCATGCACTGTGCCCCTTACTCAAGTATTGCCTCTTATTTCAGGAAGGCAAGACTAACGCATCTGGAGGGTCAGATGGGTAGCATAGTGGATCTGGATGACTTCCAGATGAGGGATAAGTATTGTAAGACTAATCCAGATGAGTCCAGACTAGAAACTAGCAGTAATGGCTGTCATAGACAGAGGCGGATGCAGATAGACTATAGGAATCAATCCTAAGTCTCAGAGGGTGACAAGAGTAGTGGTACTCAGGTCCAGAGGACAGGAATGAGCAGAACTAAGTTGATATTTGAACTGAGGTGCTACAGAGAGTTACAGGAGGTTATATACTATAGGTATCTAACAGAATGATCAATCAGCAGAGTCCAAGGCTATGTATGAAGCATATGGATAGTCTATTGGTAAGTAGAATTGGATCATAAATCATGAAATGGAAATGAAGCATAGGTAATGGATCAGGGAGCAGGATGGATATACAGATAGCTGAAATACCAGAGTTAGGGGATTACTGAAAGGAGACAAGTGCTGGTTGTGGATTTGGATGAATTGTGGACTGGACTGGACGAGTGGACAGATTGGATGACAAAGATGTTGGAGGGAGATAAGATGTGGATAGGATCAGAGATAAGATGTGGATTGGATCTGAGATGAGATAAGGATCAGATCTGAGATCCAGATATGCAGATATGACACTGACCTTATTAAACATTTAGCAGTCAGTCTGGCCAGTCTAGTAGATTATTATGTAAGCTTGAGATCACCATACAATTGAAGTCAGTCTGGTCAGTCTCAACACTTAAATATGAAAATGGTTGATTTGCATTAGCAGCACCTGGTACAAATTTATAGTAATACATGACTCTTGAGTGATGGTGCCACTCTTCTCTAGGTGAGGGACCCACTCCAGTGGAGAGTTGGCTGGGCTGCTCTGGAGCTTGTCCTTTGGTTACTGTAGGGGGGAAATCTCAGGGAGTTAAGCCGGTGAAGCTCAACCCACTCTGTTCAAGGAAATGGCAAAGTATAAATCAGTGCAAGTAGGCTAGGGCCAAACCCAATCTCTGGTCAATAACAATTTCTCATCTGTCTGTTTATTGACAAGTCACATGCATCATGCAGGCAAGAACATTCAAAATTGATTAGCTTTTCATCCATACTAAGATAAGATTGAAACATGGATATACAGTGGCTCAAAAAAGTGTCTCAATTTTTGTGACTTTTTGTGTAATTGCTGTATTATGAGCCAGGGTGTGAGAATATGACTAAGCCATAGGGAGGTGTGGAAAAGCTCAGCTTCTAAGCTTTATGTTTAATCCCTATAGTGTGGGAAGATTATGTTATCAAGTGAAGATATGGTCAATTTGATTTGGTGACTCATTGAGACACTTTTTTGACTTTCAGTTTGACCAACACAATCTCTATAATTCTGGTACTTGGTGTTTCCTCCCATTGCTCTAATTACTTCTGCCATTCTTCTATGCATACTATCTATCAATTTGAGGCATTCCTCATCAACAATCTTGCACCACTCTGCTGCAACTCTCTCCCACAGCTGAAATAACCCCTATTGAGGATCTTGATAGACTGTAAGTGATATCTTGAGTAATTACCAGGGCTGTTTAATAAGGTTGAGGTCTGAGGACTGAACTTGCCATGATAGAACACTGATATCATAGTTTTTAAAACCATTTATGGTCAACTTGAAGTATGCTTAGGGTCATTGTCTTGTTAGAAGATAATGTTTTCTTCATCAATTCTTAATTCTTGCATGCTTCTGAGCAGATACTTTTCCAAAATTGAAATGTGCTGCTTCACATTCATCCCCCCCCCCACCTTACAGAGAATTCCTACTCCATTCCACCCCATACAACACTATACCATCAAGTTTCATACTCCATATTTTAGTGTTTTCTTGACCTTTCTTTCTTCTAGTAGTTCTTCTGCATTTCATTACATATATTCCTAGCCATCTGACCCCATCCTATTGATTTTTGTCTCATGTGACCAGGTAGTCCTATTCCAGTCCTCAACAGTCCAATATTGAGGCTTTAAAGCAAAGGCTAATCTCCTTCCTATATAGGCTGAAGACAGGAAGGGCTTTTCTGCCTGTTTATAGCTTTAAGAATGGCTGCCTTAAGAGTACCCCTGACTATTTGAGTGGAGAGAGCAGTGTAGATGATGTAATTGATGAATTTGGTGGCTTGAGTAGCATTGGCAGCCTGCTTAGTTGGAATATTATGAACAAGAGATTTTTTGTTATATGATATAAGCTTGAAAGGACAATCTAGTTTGATATTTTTCTTATCTGGAATGACTTTTTATGATCCTAATGATAGCACCCAGCTCAGACCAGTTTTAGTAGCAATCTGCCTGGTATACAGATTAGAAGAGCTAATGATAATAACAGTAGGGGCTATTTCAGTTGTGGGAGAGAGTTGCAGCAGAGTGGTGTAAGATTGTTGATGAGGAATGCCTCAAATTGATAGATAGTATGCATAGAAGAGTGGCAGAAGTAATTAGAGCAATGGGAGGAAACACCAAGTACCAGAATTATAGAGATTGTGTTGGTCAAACTGAAAGTCAAAAAAGTGTCTCAATGAGTCACCAAATCAAATTGACCATATTCTCACTTGATGACATAATTGTCTCACACTAGAGGGAGCAAACATAAAGCTTAGAAGCCGAGCTTTCCCACACCTCCCTATGGCTTAGTCATATTCTCACACCCTAGCTCATAATACAGAAATTACACAAAAAGTCACAAACATTGAGACACTTTTTTAAGCCACTGTATATATTGTAATGAATGAAATTGTCATGTGGGAGTCTGGTGTTGCATTGGTCCAGCCAGTGTTGCTAGTGGCACCAACCAAGTCCATCCATCCAAACTCCTCTGTTGGTGAGTTCTACATGATGTGTACTGTATCTTGGATATGCCATCTTCCAAGTCAAGTACTTTAGTTACATTATCACATTGTCTGCATGCCCATTAAACTTTATGTTAGGAGATGGACAATTTGGGAATCACCAATGCAAGGAGGATTGCTGTTCAGATGTAATTTTGAGACTGTTCGCTTACCATTACAAACAGAAAATGTATGCATACAAGGACAAAAAGGTGAACAGATAGTGATGAAACTCTACTCCCTATGAATCAGCCAAGCTGGCTGGTAATGTCATTGGTCTCCTGGAATTGCCTAAGTGTGCTGCTTCCATAGTGTCCTAGGTCACCAAGCTGCCTACATTTTCTCCTAGGTTTATGGCTGGAACCTGTTGGTTAGTGATGCAATTCTGATTTGGTGCTGTGGCTTACCAGGTCTTTCATAGTGGGGCTCATTAGAAGATGTTGAGGAGCTATGACAGTGCTTTTGAGCTTCTTTTACCATAGCAGAGCCTATGGTGGTGCAAATTTTTGGAGTCAGATTGACCTCCAAGTTGACACAGGTGTTCTTGTCTAGCTCAGAATCTTGTATATATGATTGTAAATAAGCATCATTCACTGTCACTGTAGGAGAGGAAGATGTACATACCTGAGGTAGCAGCATGAGGCACCAGATCATCACTGATGCTAGTATCATATCCATCAAGGCCCCAGTTGAGCAGCTGGGTGAGTGGAGGACCAGAAGGCACCTCTGTGCAGATATCCTCTAGAATCTGAGAGCTGTTGGTATCAGTTTTAACTGCATCCCTCAGCACTACCAAGATTCTCTCCACATTCTCTGTCATGGCATTCCTCCCCTTCTTCTCCACCATCATATTCCTCCCTCTCATTACCTCTCTCTTTGTTCTCCCAGTATTCTGAATTGTCTCTCTTGTCTGCTATTCCATGACTGTCACAGGCCACATCATCATCCTTTACCTGACAGGAGTTGTCTTATACAAGACTTTGAGTGCTTGCGCAGCAGAAAATAGCCAAGTAACCCACCATTTTCATTATTTGTGAAGTCACCTCTCTCCACTTGGCCCCTTCCCAGTATCCTCTGCTCTGTTCACTAGCTTCCACTTACACTCATGGGCCTTTGCCTCTTCAACAAGGTGTAGCTCATCTTCCTGTGAGGAAAGTATGATGAACTTTGTGTTTTTCATGACAGATGCATCATTGGCTTCCTCCATGTCAGAACACTAGTAAGCAGCTGCCAATGTCTCAGAAGATGGAACTTCATTCTGGAAGACCTGCTTTTTTGACTTAGAAGACTGACACTGTGTGTATGCATTGGCATTCAAGAACTGATGACAGTAAGCACTAGCATAGTGCATTATGGCTACAACTCACCTTCACTAAGTTTTCAAGTGCACTATTGCACCTCAGGCCTAAGGAGAGGTTGCTCTTGTACATTGACAGCTCCTGTGGTATCCTCCTAGGCTATGGGACTTTTGCATAGTGTTAACAATAGCCTGTACTTGATTGGACTGTCTTGAGCGCATGACATCATGCTTGTGTGCAGCTGACTCAAAGCCTAGATCAAAGGAATGCTCTACTTTGGTAAGCACATGTTGGTTGACTGCCAGCCCATCCTAGCCATGTGAAATTAACAAGATGTGGGATCAAGGCCTTGGTGTTGGTGAGTGTTGTCTGCCTCTTTGCACCAGGAAATAGCAACATGGTATAAGGCAGTATTCTCCTCCAGAGCAAATCTGATTACAGCAGCCTCTCCTGCTAGATCCTCTAGCAGCTCTGGCCTATATGCATTGATGACTGCCTGTTCAGCTATTACCATGCAGGCCATAAGGTGCATGGCACGGGAGTGTGAGGCCACTAATTTTATCAATCACTCAAAGGTGTGGAACTGGATGAGCCTCATGCCTTGAAAAGTGCCCTCAGTGACATCACTAGAAATCTTTGACTGGTGAGTCCAAGGCTGATAGAGATTGCATGCCTGCAAGATGTTGACTTTGGTCCTACCATTCAAGATCTTTTGAGTGTCCAAAGCCTCAATATATAAGTCCTGCCTGCACCTCCTCTCCTCTTCATGAGCTGTAGCCCTGTGCTCAGCATGTTCATCATGACTCCCATCATCTTTATCATCATCATCAGCATCAGAGGACTCTTCACCACTCAATGGCAATAAATCTTCTCAGTCATCCTCCTCTTTGCAGTTCTGCTGTCCCTTTGTCACCTTCTTTTTCTTCTTTCCCTTGTTACCCATAGGACTATCTCCAAGGCCAAAGGTAGCCAGAAGCTGCTGCTAGTTGGTAATGCATTGGGGCATATTGATCTTAGCCAACTGCCATTCCATGTTTATGTATTTGGCAAACATTGAGAAAAATGAATGGTGAATCTGAGGCAAATAAGTATGCTGTGAAAGATGACTAGTAGTGAAATCAAACCTCAACAACTGCTTCACACCTGCATATTGGGTTGAAATTTGGGTGTCCCATGATTGCTCATATCATGTGTGCACTTGCTGACCCAGGCTCCCAGTCTTTTCCATGTCCCTTTGTCATGTATAGCATTGGAGAGAACCATGAGGAGACCTATGAATATTGAATGCTAGGCTAAAATAAGGAATGAACACAATACTCACCTTAACAATTGACCTTTCAATCATGCTCATGTTTCAAACCAGAGTCATGATTACTGAGTAGGACATGAATGGAAATGAGCAATAGTTGACCCAATTTGAGTTATATAGAACCAGGGCTGCCTTGCCAGCACACCCTAGCAGTGCAGAGCAGACATCCAAGTCCAAGTCCTTTGTCTCATTAGCACTTAGGACCTCATTGGCATACTCATCCATGGCGGCAACCACTGCATAGCTGTACTCCTTGAATGTGGTTAACCACATCTCATCCTGATCATCACCAAATCTATATGAAGCTGGAGTATTGTTGCCCAAGTGAGTGTCAAAAAAACTTTTCAGTTTGTCACATAGAGGATCAGAAATGGCATTGAGGACAGGCATAGCCCACTTCAAATCCTCTAATATTTCTTCTTTCTTGATCTTCAGTTTCTGGAATGATGTGCTGGTCTTGCTCTTTGCTTCTATTTTTTGATACTCAGCCAGGGTGTCAGACACAGTATTGAAGCACCAACAAAGCTGATTTTCAAGATGAGCAGTTGCATAGGCAATGAGCTGCATAAGTGACCAACAATGAGTGCTATAGTATATATGTAGAATCCAGAACATACACACTCCTCCATAGCCTGACAACATAACCTTGTGGAATTGATTCAGCTGCATCTCAGGGGAATAGATGTAGTAGGTACCTGAAGAGACAAGATTCTTGAGGTGACCAAAGACATAGTCCTGAGACAACAGCTCTGTCTATTTGGCTGCTGGACCTTTGGCCATAGGGATGCATTCTATGTGCCATGATGTTTTGTTGTTTGCTTCTAACATCTTGTACCTCTGGATTAGGCCCTCCTCAGGAGACTGCATATAGATGTGCTTGGTCTCATTCCTGGAGATGTGTATTCCTACTAGATCATCTACCTGATCTATAGTGGAACATTCAGTAGCTGCTGCACTGCAGCCTCAAGAGTATACTACTCACTGGCATCAAAGACTGTGACTATCCATTGGCCATAATACTCAAGGACTTCCCTAAGCCTGTGCAAACATTGTTTGACTGTGACCATGTTGTCAATATTGTTAATCTCTGCTGCTACAATGTCTTCCACTGCCTGTTTTTCCATATGCCACTCCTCAATTTCAAGGGCATAGACATCTCTTTGCATCTTCAAAACCTATTTCTAGATAGCTTCAGTCTGATGACACCCACCAGCAGCCTTTATTTTCCAATCCTTCGGTGCCTTGTCTGAAATACATAGAATAGGAAGCTCATCCCTCTTCTTGTGGTCCTTCTCCATGGTGTCTTCAACTATCCATTCCTTAGGTAGGACCAAAGGAAATGCATGTATGGGGTTGAATCTGTTCACACCATTTATCAAGAATGATTGATACAGTGACTGCACCTGGTTTTGCATGAGAGGGCAGGGGTTCCAGCCACCAAAGGATAGGCTGTTGTAGTTTTCCATGAGATCAAAGTGGGCATACCCCACAATTGCCTTATTTGCACTCTTATCAAGCCTAGCATCCTCCTTGACATTATGATCCAGTGATGCAGTACCAGATCCCTGGTGGGAGTCCAGCAAGGCTGTGTTTCCAACCTGTTCAAAACAAATTGTATCAACATTATTTGGTGTGGGGTTGAATTACTCACCTTCTCTCTTCCAGCCTTTGTTTTAGCTTTTTCCCCATCCTTGGTCAATCTCAGAGGCATGTTTTGTCAATTTGGGGTGCTGTGCAAGCAAAATTGTTGTGGAATACAGACCAGGGATAATATCTGGGAAAAGCCTTGGACTGCTTGAAGCTGTTGAAGTCAGAGTCAGAGTGTCATGGGAAAACCTTATTTCCAAAGCAGTTTTCTGTTGTAATCAAAGTCACAGTATGTGGTAATATTACAATTATTCTCTATAGTCTGGTATATGCTTAGTATTTTCATCATATTGAAGAGAAAAGAAGTTGGCATCAGCTCACCACATGCGATCTATGTCCATTTACCTCAAGCAAACTTACATTGTTTATCCTACAAAACTCAAGGTATATTTTGTCATTTTGTTTTCTCTTATTGAACTAACATTCAAGAGTTTCCAAATTTGTACAAAAGAAAAATTATAGGCCATCATATGGGAGACCAATGATTTTGGAAATTTCGTTCAAGTTCCCTTGAGGTGCTTAACTTAAGTACCTTGAATAGCTGAACTTGTCATATCCTGTATGCCAGACATAGATCCCATCATATTCCCACACTTTCTGGACCTATTTCCGGACCCCATATCTGACTCATTCCTGGATCCCCTATCCTGTCCACCCTACACACATTCCATCCAGCAAGACATCTGGACTTTACCTCCTCTCAGATTCCAGACTACATCCACCATCTCACATATCTCAGTCCTGTTTCTGCCCTACCTTCTGGATCCCCAGATCTCTGGACCTCTGGATATTGACTGTTACTATCTCTGGACCTATTCCCACCCTCTGTCCAAGATCCTGCACCTATCCCCATTTAGGCATCTCTGCCTTTCTGGTTCTCAGTTATCTCTGTTTCCGTCTTGCTGATTGATCCTTGTATGAGTCTTCATCTCCGAGTTCATTTACTTATGTTCCATCTTACTTACTAATGTGTTTCCACATGCTCATACATAGCCTTACTCTGTTGCTTACTGATCCCCTCAGATATTCTCCAGTATATAACCCTTGTAGATACTCCTGTAGTTTCCTTAGTCTGAATATCATCTTAGATCCTGTCCTACTTGCCCAATCTTCTTCCAGACTTCAGTCCATCTGAGTCTTGTCCTTTTCCATAAGGCCTAGGGATGGATTCCCTAGGCCAGAATTCCAGACCTTCAGATTTGTCCCCTATGTCTCTGTCCCAAGTCTAGGGATTGCTTCTCTAGGCTGGAGTCTTGCCTTTCCAGCACTTACCCTCTCTCCAGACATTGGTCCACTTCCTGTCTCTCCAACTCTACCTCTGTTTGCTTCTACATCAGACGAAGTCCAATGTAGCCCCTATTCCTTCTGGACCCCCGGACATCCTGTCCTGTGCACCTCTGGGCATCCTGCCCTTCAGACATTCCACCCCCTGTACCTTCAGATGTCCTGTCCTCCAAACCTTCAGTCCTCCTGTCCTTCATACCCCCAGACATCCTATCCTCCTGTCCTCCATACTTCCAGACCTCCAGACATCCTACCCTTCCATCCCATTTCCTGTAGAAGTACTACCCTGCAGTGGGGACTCTCCTGAGCACTTCCTCCATTCCTCCGGAAATCTCCTGCGCTCCTCTGGACGTTTCCCATGCTCTTCCGGACTTCATCAGACCATCATCAGACTTCCTCTGAAATGAAGGGCACATACTTGGGTAAGGGGCACAGCATACAAGCTGAGGCCAAGCCCCTCTGAGTCAGTCTCTCTCTCCTTTGAGCATAGTTCTTAACAGAACTGACAACTATGTGACAATAGATAGGAGGTTGAAGAGGGTGAAAGGAAAGAAGTCATGTCGTAGAATTCAGTGACCATGTCATTGAAGTCATGGAAGTCTGTAGCTATTTGGGACAAGTTGGGTCAGTCAATTAAATTAAGGTGAGGCAAGTCAGTCATTGATCCATACTTTGTAAGCAAATCACAAGTCCTTCTCTATTGGTAAGTTCTCCCAGGGGTTTTACTAAGACTCTGAAGAAGAAAACCAAAGAACCAAAGGAAGGCAGCAAGAGAGGTTGGTTCTGAGCTGGTAGAACAGTGGAATGAGATTGAGAGAAACACCCTGCAACTGTAAGGGACTGGCAGGTCTAGTGTGAGCACTTGAATGGGGAGTGTGTGTAAAACTTTACAAAAGAGAACTGGAAGAGTTGATATCCCAATAGTGCTGATTTTCCCAGAATGCCATAAATTATCATCCCAGGATGACATTTTGATCAGCCAATTGCATTAGAACTATATCCACTTACATTGAGAAAACATACACCATGTATCATACAAAACTCAAGGTATCTTTGGCTCCTCCTTTTTCTTACCAAAGTAACATCTAGATGTTTCCAAGTTTGTATATATGAGTGGGCAGCCTCATATTTCACAAGAACATGTCCATAAAGCAAGTGCACCAGACCTAAAAGACTGAAATGCCAGCCTTGATTTCTTGGCACATCGCAAAGCATACCAGTGAGCCTTGTGGTTGCAAGTGTAACCATAAGTGAACAGAAGGGGTAGCATATGAAAGTGCAAGGGGAGGAGGCAATCAACACTGAAAACAGAGGCAGCATGATGGAGGGTGATCTCCAGCCATTGCCAGCTAGTCTTTTTCTCAGTGGAAAGAGCATGTGTTATTCCACAAGTGACTATTTGAATGGTGGAAAGATGCTGAAGGAGAGGACCTGTGTATTTGAGCTCCATGTCATCCAGGGTGGCTGCGATCTGTAAATACTGAGACAGTTCAAATCTCAATTCGAACATTTCCTTGGGGTCAGGATCTTTGTGCTTGAAATCCAATTTGACCTCAGTGGCAATGGGATACACTGTCTGCATGGCCAAGAAGAGGACCAAGTTGGTCTCTCTCAGGTAGAGAAAGTTGCGGTTGCTCATAGGTGATCTGGACTGGATGTTAGAGAGTTTGACATGGTTGGTGAGATCCATTACTTACATGGTTGTTGTGGAGGGAGCATGTAAGGGCTTGGGAAGTGCATTTGCACCTTGCTGTTGAGTGGATGTCTGCATCAAATTATGAAGCAAAGGTCTTAGAAGTAGACTAATATTGGACCTGTTGAACATGCTGGTTCAACAGTCAATAGCAAGTCCAAGTGAATGTCAAACAGAACATCTGATGTGGCAACAAAGTGAAGAGCAAGAAATGTGGAACACCAATATTTGACAAGAAGCAAGGTATGGTAGTGGGTATGTGCTTTTGATCGTGCAGAAGTGTTTTCAAAGGACTTGAGTAAGACAATGCAAAAGACCATAAGTGGGATGTGGTGATCCTGGCTTTATATAATAATTGACACATTTTCTGGACTGAACATATCAAGATTCAACATAATAGTTGAGCTAGACTGACTTGCCTGACTTAAAGACAGAATCACCAATATTGAGACCTACTGAATTCACAGGTGATTGATATGATCAAAGTAGCAACCTGAATTAGTCCAGCAGTGAGCCATATACCTAGGTAATACAAAAAATGAATTTCATGAGTACACACATAACATGCTGGGGAATATCAAAATATACATGAAAAAATGATCATCCATGTAATACATGTGCAACATCCAGTAATTCTGACCTACAATACCAGGGAAGTAAAAGTACAACAATTGAAGTGACAGCAACAAGGTCCCTGATGCAAAGGTCCATCAATCTGAGGATTCTATAGTGGGTGACTTTAACCCAAAGGCCTCTTCATCCATATTTGTATATAGTGGTGCACCCTGAAAGAATGTGATGAGGAGGTCAGAAGAGGTTAGAGTTTGCCTTGGAGAGTGTGGAGGAGTGTGGAGAAGACTTGAAAGGCTAAGGGGCAAAACATTTTTGTGAGCTGGTCATTTCATCAACGTCTGGTTCATACAAGAGGCAGACAATAGTGTCTTTCAGTATGGAAATTGAAAAGGTTATGAATGGAATCCCTATGTAAATATCTTGCAAGTCATCACCATCACATCTAATGGAGAGAAGGGGTGCTGCTTCTTGAAAGCGATGTCCATTGCTAGCACATATTTCCTCTATGGTCTGAATCTGGGTAATTGTCAAATGATGGGGTTCAATGATAGGGATTGGGACAACAATTGTCTGGTCTGACTTACATACTAGAGATCTTGGATCTAGGTAGAGTCAAGTGTTAGGTAGAGTCAATGCTTGACAATGACATAGTAAGGACAAGGAATGTAATGTTGTTTGTAAGCAGCACCTGACTATGTTCCATAATGTCATATGCCATTCTGGACCCTCAACTCTAAATCCACTTCTCCAGATATCTGGTTCCGAGATCTGGATCTCCAATGATCTAATCTATCTTTATCTTCCTTCTGGAATCCAAACCCTCTATCAGTGCCCAACCCCATTTAGACTTCCCATCTCCAGACTCTGGTTAACTATGTTTCCCTTCTGATTATTGATCCATTACATACATTTCATTTCTGGTGTTCATTATTTGTGATCTGTCCTACTTACTAATAGACTTTGCATATGCTTCATACATAGCCTTTGTGTTTGCTGCTGATTCCTATATGATACCTACAGTATATAGACCTTCTATAACTCTCAGAAATACTTCAGTTCAAATATCATCTTAGTTCCTGCTCATTTCTGTGTCCTCCAGACTTGAGCCAAGTCTCTTGTCATATTCCGAGTCTTAGGATTGTATCCTAGACTACATCTCTGGCTCTACCTTAGGGTAGTATATCCCCTGTTAGTTTCTAGTCTGGACTTCATCTGGATTAGTCTTATCTGCTTGGCCAAGTAACATCCAGATATCCACCAGATTTATCTCCTGTTTCAGACCTGGACGTCCATTGTCCACCCTAGTCAAATCCCAGAAACTCCAGACAACTGTTCTAGCCCCTGGAAATTAAGGGCACATACTTGGGAAAAGGACACAGTGTATGAGCTGAGGCCAAGCCCTTGTGATCTGACCCCCTTGAGCACATGACCTTAACACATAAGTAGATCACATGACTGACTCCAACTACCACAATGTTCTTTGTAAGCAGCACCTGGCTAATGTTCCATGAGTCACTGACTGACTTTCCTGACCTGAATGACCACCCTCCGTAATTGGTATGGTGACTTAATTAACCTGACTGACCACTTTCCATAATTGATATCATGACCAACTGACCACCTTCCATGTGCTTCACATTATTCCATAAATACTATCCCTTACTATTTATGATGAGCCTGTATTTCATGAGTCACGCTCATGTCATGAATAGTAATGAACAGTCACACTGGCCAAATTTACAGTTCACTTGGCAGACATTAGATTTGTGATTCATGAACTTCAACAGAAATTGGTTAGGATGTTACTAATAAAACTTGTGAGATATGGTATGTATGGAGAATTATATAGAACCAAATTCAAATCATTAACACAGTGTAAAATATTGTTGAGGGAATGTATGTGGATGTGAGTATTGATACATAGATGGATCATGAAGTCTGTGACTAGATTCCGTGGCTTGTGAGTAGAGATAGACTTCTTCTGATAAGCAAGGTAACAATGATGCCAATTCCTCCCAGGAAGCCTTCCACTAATCTCATTGACCCAGGAACATAGATCATGAGGGTACACAGTGCATGCAGCACCAGATTTGTGAGCCTGCCAATCCTTCACAGCATCCTCTTCAGACAACTGGAGGAGTTGCCATAACTTGGCATAATCCCTGCAAGATACATGCAGACCCTTGCTTTGGTCTTTAAGAGTCTGTCATGTGACCAGTACAATGAAATTAGCATTGGAGGAACTCAAAAAATACATATTCATACCTTGTGTACCCTTGCAGCTACTGAGATATTCTTGCAGGTGCCTGTTATGAACTTGGATAGAGTGTTGTTCCAATAAAGGAATCAAGATCAAGGTCAATCAAGGACTAAGCCTTATCAAGTCAATGCCTCCCTCAGGAGCGATCATCTAGACTCCCGCAGGATCTAGAGTTCAAATGGGACAGATGGCTAGCCTCCTTCCCAAGGAGCTAGAGTTCAAGTATCAGAGAGAACCGAGTAGATTCAAGTTAGAGAAAATACAAGTGGTAGCTAGGGTTTATATATGTAAACAAATTGTGCACAGACCAAGCTGGGCAAAGGGTAACTAGTAGTAGAAATGGAAGGTTCATGGGAAAACAGGGTGTGAGTCAGAGATAAGAGAGACCATGAGGAAGCAGCACAGTGAAAAGGAAGTGTTAGAAGTACAGCCATGTAGGGGTCCACAGTGATGATGAGAAAAAGAGTGGGGCACTGTAACAGTGCCATTTGCAACATCCATGAATGCAGCCTGGATCTTAGACTCATACTTGTGGTCAGTAGATGACAACAGCTTGCCTTGGTGATGCCCCATGGCATGGCAATTGAGCCCTGCTCAGTGCTTACCACTAGCTCACAGAGTCACAGACTGCAGCTGCAATGAAATGCACTGTTAAAATTGAATGTCTGATGTTGGCAGCCATGGCAGGTGACACCAAATCATGATTTTTGCTGCTGTCACACTGAAAATGTGATCTCCACATTTCACAATGGATTTGTATTGTTTCACTTGGAGTATGCTAGTATAGTATGTAGATACTCAGTGAAGGAGCTAAGCAATGACTTTAAAATAGAGTGCTGTAGACAAAATCACAAATAGACCATAGGGGATAGTAGTAATGAGTATTATCCATGGACTGTGGTAATGTTTCAACAATAAAATGACTGACTTGGCTGACATAGGACTGACACTTGCCTGACGGAGTTGCCATCCTTGCAACAAGTTATGTATTCTGTGATCACTAATGACTATAAAAACCATTTATGCATGTGTGTTATATGGTCTGTGGATAAAAATGAACAAAGTAATAGGCTATGGTAATAAACAAGCTTGCTGCCCTAAGCTAAAGTTGTGAACAAACCCATGAAAGGATGCAGATCATCAACCTGTTTGCATAACCACCACACATGAGCCTCAGTTCCAGCTGTACTCTCTTCACTATATGCAATTGTGGTGTGTCAACAAGGTTTTTTGAACCAGTCAGCACAGTGGATGAACACAAGCTTACTGTGATTATGAATCGTGGCAATATGTTCCAAGAACCAGGTCTCCCAAGTTGGTGACCATGCTCCTTCCCATGACTGGTATATCTCAAAGAACTTCAGAGGAGGCCATCAAGAGTGGTTGTCACTGGTGAGGCCTATCAGAAAATTGATATGATCTTCTGTCATTGTATTGTTGATGTCCATGCCATTGCAATCAATATTGCAGTGTATGGAAGCATCAGTGGATGGTCCAGACAAGGCAGATGAAAACAGGTCATTGGGCCCATAGTGCACTGCAAGCTGCCACAGCAGACCACCCATTGTAAATGCACACTGGGAAAATGGAAGGCAGAAAAAGTATTTGACCCTATCCTCATACTGGGTAAACACATCGCTGTCCATATGTTGAAGGTGGGGATGTTTGGCATCGAGATAGATGGGGTGAGGAGCCAGGATACCATAATGAGGGCCAATGAGGTGATGGGGGTTGACAAAAACCTGCCAATTGAGTCCTTGAGAGAGACATTGAATAGTGAAATACCATAATGGTACGTCTGGATATTGCACTCTCCACAGATGCAGTCTTAATTTGGTCCTCTTAGAGACAACCAATCTACCATGAGAGATGACATTTAAAAATGTGTATGAAGGATTGCAGATGATGTGGAGAATGTGGTTTTTAATATGGCAGTTTGTCAGTGATGAGGAAAGGGGACTGGGAAGGTTGAACTGCTTGAGGCAGTTGGTATTCTTGATGATCCACTGAGTAGTTGTTGTCTCAGCAGGTCAACTAATGGACATGGCTTTGATTGGTTTGCGAGGTGCATTACCATGACTGACCATCAGAGGTCTGACTGCTGGCCTGTTTTTATGAGCCATACTGCAGAGAAGATATCTGGAAGTCAAATGAAGTGTTCAATGTTGTGTAAATGGATGACTAGCTGGAAATTACAAGCTAGATGTCCATAGAGAGAGATCCCAGGCCAAAGTCAAATGAAGTGTTCAACTGTGTGTGTGTGTGTGAGAGAGAGAAGAGATCCAAGGGCAAAGTCAAACGAAGTGTTCAACACAAAGATAGGGAAGATATCCAAGACCAGAATGAATAAGAATATTGCTAGATAACGAGAAATCAACTGAAAAGGGTACTGGAAGCTAAGGGAGAAAATTGAGAGCAGGAGAGGAATAGAAGAATAGAATAGAATAAAATGCCTGGGCCTGGGTGTTGGTCAAGCATTTGTATATGTCACATAAGTATACATGAGTGAACAGAAAGTTGAGGGAAGTCCCTAGGACCATGAAAATGCAACCAAGGCAGGCTTTGAGTGGAGGTAATGCAGAAATCAATATAATAACCCACTGATGAGAGGGCACATGCAGCATCCAGAGAGTATAGTAAGACATTGTCAGAGTCATATGATCCACCATACCTGGCCATAAAATGGGTGGATGAAATTCATGGATCAAAACAATCCAAACATGAAATAACAAGCAGAGATTTACCTGTGGAATCAGAGTGCAATACTGGTGCATAGGATGGTGTAGAACTGTCCTTGAAGCACTGGCAGCAGCTGGGAGTGTATGTAAAGAGAAGAACATGCTAGTAACAAGATGGTTAAAAATGCGAACCATGGAACTTACCCTTACCATACCAAGAGAGGTGCCCAGCACTTGTCTAAAGAGCAGGGAAGCCTCAGAATAATGAAGGTCATCCTCAAGTATTATTATAACAAGGTAAAAGAGCTCTGATCCAGAATAGAGTGAATCACCAAGCAAATATTGGAACCAGACTTGACTGACTTTAAAGACTGACTGGATGGACTCTGAGCCAGCCAAGATATTTCTCAAGACATTCATGCTGGGCATATTTGTCACCTTAGACATCTTTTCAAACAGGGGCCAAGGTCACTTATTTGTGCTAAGTGTGAGGAGGATGATAATTGTCATTATTGTAAATATTGTGCAATTTATACAGTGAGTGAAGTATGAGTATGTGGGGAGTGTAAACATCATGGTTTGTATGAATCAGATCAGATGAGAAAGTGCACATGATTGTGCTACCTCATATGCAACCAAGCTCCCAAGCAATAGCACTCCACCAATGGATGTTCCTGAGGAAGAGTCGACCAGCATCGTTTCATGAGGTGCCAGTGTCTGTCAAGGCACAGAGGGTATAATTGTTGAGAAGGTTGAGTGGCAGTATACTTGTGGTGGATTATCACCATATCTCCCAGGTAGTAGTATGGAAATCTTCCTGTAAGAGTCTAATCACACTCATAACTATATTATCAACATGTCAGCATTAATTGGCACTTGCCTGCAATATGTTACTTTGTTTTTGTCAGCCATACAGGGGATCCATTGCATGTCTCTCTGAATAACTCAGGAGCCATCCATGGCAAGTTGCCTTGTAGGTTTGAGGTCCAGGAGGCAATGACAGACTGGGTGATGGAAAGGCCAAAGTCAGTGAAGTGAGCTGCACTGTACAGTGGCTCAAAAAACTGTCCACATGTTTTTGCATTTTTTACTATTTACAATATTGTGTGAGAATACATAAAGACCTCAGTGACATGCTAATACCATATTGTAGTGCTGCTTCAGGGCTTTGGTGTTAAGGTTGCATGCTTGAGGGGGTTGGATCACAAGGGCTTGGCCTCAGCTTGTATGCTGTGCCCCTTTCCCAAGTATGTGCCCTTAATTTCTGGGAGCTAGAACAGTCGTCCAGAGTTTCCAGGATTTGACTGGGGCAGATAACAGATGTCTGGATCTGAGATGTGAGATAAATCCGTCGGACGTCTGGATATTACCTGGGCAAGTGGATAAGACTAATCCGGACTAGAAACTAACAGAGGATGGACTACCCTTAAGGTAGAGTCGGAAATATAGTCTAGGATGCAATCCTAAGACTCGGAATATGACAAGAGACTTATCTTGAGTCCGGAGGACACAGGAATGAGCAGGAACTAAGATGATATTCGAACTGAAGTATTTCCGAGAGTTACAGGAGGTTTATATACTGTAGGTATCATATAGGAATCAGTCAGCAAACATAAAGGCTATGTACGAAGCATATGCAAAGTCTATTAGTAAGTAGGACAGATCACAAATAATGAACACCGGAAATGAAATGTATGTAACGGATCAATAATCATTAGGGAAACATGGTTAACCGGAGTCTGGAGACAGGGGCAGTCTAAATGGAGTTGGGTGCTGATATAGGGTTTGGATTCTGGAAGGGAGATAAAGATAGATCAGATCATTTGAGATCCGGGATCCGGATCTCTGGAGAAGCAGATTTAGAGTTGAGAGTCTGGAATGGCATATGACATTTGGATTGAGCACCACATCGTGAGAATCAGTGGAGATATGGTGGAGATACAAGGCTTACAAAATCATGACTCATGCGAACAGTTTTTTGAGCACATATTAAAACTATATAAATCATCATTTATGACACCATAACAATCATGCCACCATTAAATAAATTATAAAGTGGTGTCATTATGTCATTTTAAAACCATATCTAACTATACAAACCAAAAATTTCCATATGTCATGGTTATATTCACTATGAAAGCCACCCCCCCTGCTCAAAGGGATAATATCCTCTCTCTTTCCTATTCTGGCCTCTCTGCTTGTCAAATTTCCTCTAGAACTGGAGTATCTAAGTCCACTGTTGCCAAGTTCATCAAAGAAAGTCACACAGACAAGGAAAACTTCTGTGAAGGGCGTCTACCCAAGCTCACCTCTACTGATAGGAGGGCTATTATTCAACATATCACTACAGGAAAGGCTGATAATGCTGTCCAGGTCACCTATTATATCAATTCCACCATCACATTCCCTGTCTCTTCACACACTGTGAGAAACATTCTCAAGTCTGTGGATGGTTGGATGAGACTTACACCAGTGAGGTCACCATGGACGATGTTGTTAACATGTACTGGCAATGAAAAATTATGACACAGAGTAAGATGTGTTTACCATTGGACATACAGTATTGGAGGCCACCTACAACGTCTCTGAGCTGAGAGTGCCATCAGCAGGCGATCACAACAAGGGCAAGGAATGGTAAATTGATATAAAGCTGCTGTTAAGCCCCTCTTCCTGAGGAGTGGGAGCCAGAAAGTCTGATTCACTGTCTTGGAAACTTCTGTGGTAGTGGGAGTCATGACAAATTTCATGGCTAAGCAATGGCAATCAATGAATCATGGTTGGTCCAAATTGAATCAAAATCTAGTATGAACACCATCACCTTGAAGCTGAATGTGACTTTTCATGATTTTTTTTTTCCTTATCACACCAATTTTGACAGAAGTCCCATTTTCAGCATGCCTGATGCCTTCTGAGACTCATGTTCACTCTTGATATGGAGAAAGAGAATTGGGTATTGAAACCCATGAACTGCCCAGGTCAAGTATGCACCAATTCAGTTGGGTCAGTCTGGATAACTCTGAGTGAATGATGTAAGATTGAGATTGCCAATATTATGTAGAAGGTCAGTCAAGTCAGTCCAGACAACTCTGAGGCAATATAAGATTGAGATCACTATATGTAAAAGGTCAGTCAAGTCAATCTGGACAATTCTGAGGCAATGTATGAGATCATCATGTGTAGAAGGTTGGTCTGGCCAGTCTGGACAACTCTGAGGTGCTGAAAGATTGAGATTGCAAATATATGTAGAAGGTCAGTCAAGTCAGTCAGTGGAGGCCCTGAAGGGGTAACTAATAATTTTGCACTGATGAACCTTTCTTATGAACAGGTGCAGAACCCACCCCAATATGCACATCCAAGCAGTTGTTATTTTTGCCTGTCCCCACAGATAGAAGATGAGATTGGCACACAATTTTATTTCATGCAATGCACCTATGGCCTTCATGGTTTCATGTTCCACCTTGAACTACTCACTCACCCCAACAACTATTTCAGCACCATCGAGACTTGGAACACTGTGGAAGACCAATTCTCCAAAGCACTTGATAATCAATTTCAAGGAACATGGCAAGTCAACCCTGGAGATGGTGTGTTCTATGGCTCCAAGATTGATGTCACCATCCGCAACATCCTCTACCGATCATTCCAGAGAATGTATTATAATTTGAATCTGATACCGCCATATGTACACACCAAAGTCAGTCATGTGAGTGCCCACTGTCATTGAAACAACAAACAAATGCTAACTCTAAAACCATACAGGAAACCCTGGACTGAGTTCCATTGTTCAAACATGGAAAAATATGATGTTGGTCAATGTTTTGCATCAGTGCACAAGTACAGTAGGTCTGCTGTGCGAGACCTGGTCAAATGTCTGGCTGGTGGCTATTGTATACATTATTTCTGACATTTGGAATATAAGTAGTATAGGTGGTATTAGTTGTACAATTGGATGACAAGAAAATGTAATCATCAAGTGAGAGATGTAAACAGTTGAAGACATGATGAAAGTTCATCTTGTGAAACCAACTCACCTGGGTCACTTTGATTGCTGGATTGGTAGGATTGCTGCATTGTGGCCATATCCTTGTAGAAATGATGAATGATCACTGTGGCGATGGTGACCACTCTTTTGGTGCTCTCTGATTCAATGATTTTGTATCCCTGGTCATTGTTCAAAGCCTTATACTTGTCACAGTTGATCACCATCAGGCAGAGGCCAACAAGTGCCCTGTGATGTAATTCTTCAAAGCACTTTAAAACCACAATGCAAGATAATTTGGTGACTTACTGACATTAGATGAGAGTTGTGGAAGAGCTATCATCATCCTCTGGAATGTCTCCAGAGCATTGTTGTGCACCTGATTGGTAAGAAACTGTGCCTTGTGAGCATCAATGTAGTGGAAGCTCTCAGTTAGATGTAAAGATTCAAAGTTATGCAAGTGTCCACCAGTGGTGAATGATTTGTTAGGAGTATACACAGCATGAACTTGGCCAGCAGGTTGAAAACTTGAAATTATAAGGCAAACTCCAGAACAAGTGTCAAAGGACACTTATAGCAGGTCTCTGTCCAACAGTGTGATGACCTCTGCATCTGGCAAAGTTGGCAAATAACATCTGTGCCTTTTGAAGGACTGTTTGACTGAGCACATGTTTGGGGTGGAAGACTACCCAGAACTTGATACCCATTTTGATCTGGACAATGTTATGGCACTATCAGCATGTGATGAGGGTAGGACATGAACCCTGCCTGGTGAAGTAATGCCCAGGACTTTGTGGTGAAGTTGTCTGGGTGCACTTTTGCTGCTTTCAATGGGACAATCAACTGTGGTCTTGTTCCAGCATATATGAGGCCATGGTCTAGAAGGCTAGAAGTGGGCAGTTTAAGAAATAGTCATGAAAGGAAGTTGAACTCACTGGAGCTCTGGTGGGAGACCTACATGGGAGAGAGGTATGTTGAGTATGCATTGGATTTTGGATGGGTTGTTTATGTCATCTAGGAATTGCTGTATTGTCCCTTTCATGTGGGGATGTGTGAAATCCATTACTTGTTTGCTGACATCTATTGGGAAAGTTGAATTGTAGGGTAAACAAAACAAGCAGACTGACCATGTATGGTAACGTGTATCAGGGGCAATATCCTGAAATTAGTCTCTGGATATTCTACATCCAGTGCAGGGGCACTATCACTACCACTTCCCCGGATAATGACAGGTTTGTTATGGTGAAGGGCCTCACTGATGGATTGCTGTAATTGACATCTTGTCAAGCCATTGTGTTAGAGGTGAACAATGTTGTTAGAGGTGGGTTTCGATTCCAAAAACTTGGAGAGGAACTGCACCATGGCAACATCTGTGTCCTTGTATATGTTGATGCCTTTGCTCATGACACAGGGAAGCACTGTCCTGCACCCATCAGCCCAAGTGACCATTTTAGATTGTTGCAGTACTTTGACACTGAGGATGCCAGATAC